GCTTTCTTCAGGCTCTGCAGGAAGTGAAGCCTCTGAAGTCCTTTTTTGGCTATGAATGAAGTGTTTGTGGTCCATGACAGGTCACAGCTGATCTGAACCCTAAGGAAAGCTCTGAACCACCTCCACCTTCCACTGCCGACGCTGATGGAGTTCTTATGTCTTTTTTGAGTTCAGTGCGAGGTTGTTGTCCTGGCTGCAGCACTCCAGGTTCTCGATCTCTTCCCTGTAGGCTGACTCGTTGTTGTTCGAGATCAGACCTATCACAGTTGTATTGTCTGCAAACTTAATTATGAGGTTAGAATCATGGGTGGGTTTGCAGTCGTGTGTGAAGAGGGAGTAGAGGAGGTGGCGGAGCAGACAGCCCTGAGGTGCTCCAGTGTTGAGAGTGATGGAGGTGGAGGTGTAGTTAACATTATCGAGGCTATAAACACTATCAAACGAGTGGTCGCCTAAAGGGTCGACTGGCCCTGCTAGGGAACAACAGGATATTTTTTCTGTTCAATTAAAAGAATATTGCTCACATATCTAACGCAGACTGGCTGGCGGTTAATTTTCGTTTTACAAGGTGGTTCGCGAAAGTGCCTTAATATTCATGAGTAAAGCACTACTTGATTGGCCAGTGAATGCCTTAGACAGAGTTCACCGGCCAATCAGATAGCTTCTCCATCCCGAACCACCCTGAAAAAACAAGTAGCACATGTCATTGGCAACACGTTCACCGGCCAATCAAATAGCTTCTCTCATGAATATTAATGAGTTTTGCCAAACCACCCTGTAAAACGATAATTTGCTGCCTGGCACATGTGAATGATACGCGTCTCAGAAGTCTGTTGTTCTGCTGTTCACCTGCGGCAAAATTAGCCTGCAAGTTTTACCGCCTCATGCCCAGCCAGCACTAGGCTTGGGCAGTATCTACCTTTTAATACCGTCGTACCGACCAGACATTGACAGAAAGGGACTGCACAACGTTTGTTTTTACTATGTCAACAAATATAATTAGTTTGGCTTCAAACATTTGCGCTTGAATAATATACTTATCCACAATGTAGGAACCTCAAATACAGTTTTCAACTTGTGGGTACACAGTACATTGCTGGAGGTTTTGAGGAAATGTTTTAATTAATGAATTCCACCAGAGGGCAGCACCATTCCAACCATGGAACAGAAGAAAGGTATGGATTCAGTGTATAGACCAGTATAGTTCAGTGTCCGTCACCAAAGTCAGGTGCACTATAAAGACAAAGCTCAGAAACCATTTAGTGTTGAAGGAGAATTTCCGCAACACAACTTCAGTATTTGTATCATAATGTTCAGGACCAAATTCAGTAGAGGCATTCTATTCTTCTTCATTTTTCAGGCAAGGAATCTCTCCAACACTTATTTTTCAACGATTATCCCATCGAGGGTCACAGCCCGAAAGGGATCCTTTGTGTTATTTATAAATGTAAGAGCTTCTTTTCCTCCTCTTAAGAAGTACTAAGATTAGCATCCACTACCCTCTCATTCGAGGAGCTAAGATGTCAGAATTAGCCAAGTCTATTTAAACATCGAGTTTCCCAAAACTCCTTGCAGCTTAGCTCACAAAGTTTTTCTATATTTGGACATGATATGATCATAGCTTTAAATTTAGTGTATCTTCATAAACTTTTGTAAACATTTGAGTGCTTATAGTCACCCAGCCATTTTTATTTGTTCTATTTTATTTGATTTTATTGCTAAGCTAGAAAAGAATCTCACTTCCCATAAGAATACTGCTTAATTCAAAGAGAAATGTCAGTGTCTATGAAATATCCAAAAATAACCAAATTGATCATCATATACATCATTTGTGTCTACTATGTAATAATGCTTAGTTGTGTGTTTCATTACAAAAAATGTATGCATAAATATTGATGGTTTACATTTGGTTTTGTTTTGGCCACACACTGTCATAGTTACAATGGGTGCACTCATAACACAGGACAACAAAAAATTTTTTTTTAAATCATCAGAGACCAAAACACATTTTTCCAAATCAGTTTTTCACGCTGATTCCATATCTGTTTTCAGTTTTTTTTCTGTCACGTCAACTTTTTGATTTATGAGTAATGCTAGTTAATACCGTAATTGCAAGTATTGTGTACTAAAACAAAAGCATCACTGTAATATAGGGTAAAATATTTTTAGAGCAAAATCAAATAAACAGACAGTGGGCATAAAGTGAAAAGTGTTTGTTAACCACCATTGTTTGATGTTTTGATGCTTTGAGTTTGATTTTCTTGTGTACACCTTGTCTGGAATGTCGTGGTACAGCATCCAGCAGTAGTTGGCCATCATGCTTTCACTGTAACCAGCTGCACCTTCTCCGTACACCTCATCACCTTCTACAGAATGAAGACCATCATGTGGCGGTACAGGAATAGGCAATGAATCGTCATGAGGAACAGGCCTGATTGCAGAATCTAGGCTGAGATATACAATTTTGTGCTTAGTTTTAGCTGAGAATCCACTTGTATTCATGCGGCAAAAGTAGCAGTCGTTGAGATGGTCTCGCGGTTCCCTCCACACCATCGGAATTCCAAATGGCATTGCTGCCTTTCGCCGATTTAGCCAGTCACGCAAACCATTTGAACAACTGGTACAGATGACATGTGGAGCCCATGATTTATCCTGGTCTCCAAGTGGACAGCCAACGTATAATTTATATATCTTCTTAAGATCTGTAGTGATTGGGCGATGTTGTACTTTCCTTGTGAATGAGCCACACACATAACAGAAGCTGTGTGATTAATACAATTTCTAGGCATGATAACAACTGAAAGCCAACACAGTTTATGCTGTCTATCACCGCCACCTTCGATTTCCAGGACGATGACCCAGAATTCAAACTCGAGAGTTAGATTTAATATTTCCTTTGCAACAATTCGAGAAATAATAAAAAATTCATCAAGAAGCTTACGTCAGCAAAATGAAACCTGAGGCACAATTACCTATGTTTCCCGCCAAACTAAGTTGTTTACACAAGACATGTGCACTAGGTCAAAATTATCATACTCAAATCGCAACTAGACAAGTGTCAATAAAACATAAATTAATATCTAGTCACCTAGAGAACGGTGATGCTGTCTATAAGATAAAAAACACAGACAACTCTTGTAATACACTTAGGCAGACTGCATGTACATAATATCATACTACATATAGCTTCATCAGAAAAACTTGATGTGCTAGAGAAAAAACTAAACACAGATTTGAAATCAGCATGAAAAATACTACAAAACCTACATAAAATTACCTCTGATGAAAATGACCAGTTAACCTGTGTAATTAAAATATGGAATTATCAGTTTAATTATGGGGTTTATGATAGGTCAATAGTTTGTAGGATTGTGCTTTGGGTTTTTTTTATGGAATAATATTGCTACAGATGTGGTCCTGTATGTTGACGTATGTCTGTCATGGATATATTTGATTTTGTTTTACTGCCTTATTTCGAGGTGATTGAACTGAGATTGGCTCAGATCCAGCAGTTACATGTCGCTGTCTGAGGTGCCACAGCCTTTCTCCCACGTGGAGGGGGGCACTGAGCAATCTCGCGGTGCCCGTCTGCCAGGGTGAACTGCCAAACTTCAGCCATCTGTCTCGCATGAGGCCTTTATGTGGCCAAGGCGTTGATTCAGATCAGCACCCAAACATAATGTCAAATAGTTCAGTTACAGTGTATGTATCTTTAGCACAGCATAGCATATTTACTCTAACAAGGGATGTTTAAACTCAGTAAAACACATTTGCGCATTTGAGTCAAGTGAATGAATTTCTCATGGTTTCTCATGGTTGACATTATAACCTGTCATTTACTCTAGTTAGTCAGTGTTTTCTGAGCTACTTTCTAAACAGTAATGTGTAAAGGTACGATTAAATATTGCCACTTCATATTTATAAATAGTTTTATCCTAAGGTCCTGTTAAGGTTATGTATTATTCTTAAGTATTTTGGGGAAAAAATGTTCTTTCAGTTTTTAACAGGGCAGATAATGTAAAGATCACTTGAGTGTTTCATGTAGTTAGCTGTCTACTATTCTTATAAACGGGCTCGGATGGGATGTTCATCTCCACGCCCTCTATTTCTATTCGCCATGACGGCTCTCCTTGCTGCGTGTAGTTTCAGCTGAAAGACTGGAATTTGCAATACGTGTAAACCGGAAGTTCTGCGTGTTCGAACCAAAATGGCGCCCTTTCCACGCCCTAGTCGTTCGTCTCGTCCTCCCGTATTTTTTGGGACTGGTGACGCTACAAACAACCCGAAGTCGCTCTTAGCAACTGGCACCCGAATCGCGAGTTATTTGCAACCGACGCATTTACTGAGGGATGGATTAAATCTGATGTTTCTTGCAGCAAGATGTGACCGGGGCAGATGCTTTAAGCAACGGTGACGGATGGACAGCCTGTAAGCAGTGGCGCGAGGTCCCAGCCCATGCTTTTGTTTTGGGGATCAACTCTTTCTGGGTCCGGAAGAGGGGCGAATCCCTGCTAGGTGTCCAACGAGAAGCAAGGGGAGAGGGGAGCTAGTGTCCGCACGACAATCCGCATGTTTATGTTTGCGGGGATGGTTCCCAAATTAGAGGGAAAGTTGCGGAATTTGAGGACCGCCCGGAGCCAATATCGCTGCAGATTTTGGACGTAGAACTTTTTTTGGACGGGAGCCGGTGGGTGGGGGGCGGCGTGTGTTTCCTGCGCTGCTTGCCGACAGGGACCCAGCCTGCGACCGGCCCGAACTTTGGCCGTATGAGAAGGAAAAGAAGCGTCGGTCCGAGCAGGCGGCACGGTGGGGCTCGCCCGGAGGGGGCCAGCAGCTAGCTCAGCTCAGCTCCGCGGTCGGTTTCAGCTCTCACCGCGACCATCCAGTTCGCCGCATTTAGCGTTACCGATTAGCGAACCGCAGCCCTTAATGCCTCTTTGCTTAACCCGCATTTTCTTGTGTCGGGGGGCTTCCCGGCCATCGCGCCTCCCCGCAGCCGTTTAAATCCTAAAACCGTCGAAGGTGCTTGCAGCCACATCTGCCCCCGGCTCTGGGCGTTTTTTCTTTGGAAATACGTTGGATTCGGGTACCGTTTTGCGGATCTGGGACAGCAATTTAACACCCTAAGGGTCTTTCTGAAGCCGGTTAGATGCTGTCTGTTCCAGGGGGGCTTTGTCTTGGACTTTTAGATGAAATTTTTGCTGGATCGTCGCTCTGACCGAAACCTGCAATTATGATGATACTGAGCAGAAAACCAGATGGCCCGATAACAGCAGGTAAGCAGTTTCGGTCACATTTCAGTACCATTGTCAGCATTGCATATCAGTTTGTGCTTTCCATAAGCATGTGGGTAATTTCTGTATGCTTTATTTTTGGTGTATTTGTTCTCCTGTACTTCCTTCTACGATCCTAAAACGTTTCCACTAACGAAAATAACACCAGTGAAGACTGTGTCCAGAATGATCGTGTCTAGACACCATACCACAATATCAGCTTTGTTATGCTTTAAAACAAGCTAAACCTTTTTTTTTCCAGCATGTCTGGAACTGTCAGACTTTTCTGTATGAATTATAAACGTGTTTAATTTTTCCGCTGTCTACTAGTCTCTAAGCATTTTAAAGCATTTTTTTCGAGGAAAATAGTTAATGCGGTGTACCAGGTCATTGCCTATTTTATAAATCTTGTTAAAATATACTGTTGCTGTCTCATTCCACTTTTTTTTATTAATGCTGACCAGCTGGGACGACATGTAAGCTGTGATTTGAAATGTATAAATTAAAAATAAATTCTATATGACAGTATTGACTGCTTTATTGTCACAAATCTGAACATCACCCATCTCTTCTGTAACTGCAGATGTATAATTTGCTACATACAGATTTATGTCATAGTAAATATTTATTCAGAAATCTTCAGTTCACCCTGTTTCAGCGCCCTTTATTTTTAGTAGGGTTTGGAGGATACTATCCGTCTCTTGGGCGCAGTGACATGTCTCCAATGTCTCCCCTTTTCTAGGTTTCAGGAAACACATTTTCGACTTTGAAATATGATCCAGGATGCATTTCCTCAAGTTTTTGCCCAATTTTCTCTTTTTTTTCCTTTTTACTCTTAGTCAATAGGTAACATTGACACTTGGTTTGGGGAGAGAGGCTTAATGAGTGGTAGTGTGCCTCATTGCGCTCCCTGTGGGTTTCTGTTGCCAGGAATCATCCCAGAAGAGAGGGGGGGGGGGGGGGCGTGATACGAGATGTTTCTCTCCGGGGGATTTAGTCTCTCTTGCTGACAAACTGGCACTGCCTCGCTTGCCGCGTGGCAATTAGAAAAGCGATACTGTCGCGAGTCAGCCCATGATCCTGGTGGCTGAGGAAAAACACGAGGTGTGTTGACGTTGCCGTTTACAGGTCATAAAGTGGCTCCACGTTCTTCTCATTTTGGTGCCTGTTTATTGGGCACCGGGTCGGGTTGAGTTCAGAGCCTATCCCAGGAAGCAGGACAACATCCTGGTCTGAAGGAGGAACAATGCCCTTCCAGCCTCAGCGCTATTCATCGCGTGGTGCACTGTCCACTGGCAGCTGCTGATTTGCTCTTACCTCTTCCTGCAGTTCGACACGCCGATGGCCTGTACGACTCCTACATGCGTACTGACCATGTTGTGAATGACGACATGGACGCAGAGGGCCGGAGTCCCTCTGGGTTGCCCCCTCTGCCCAAACATACAGTAAGTGAACGACGTTAAGTAAATAGAATGTAAATGTTAGCCTGTTTAGTGGTAGGTTTCCTTCTTCTTCCAGATACCAGTTGTGGACAAGGACAGCTCGTTAGAAGATGGGAAATGTCACATTGCATCTTCCTGTGATGATCCTGCAGCCACCCGTGTGCTCGACACGGTGGCACTCGAATCATGGAATGTCTGTTACACATCTATTCCTACCATCGTTGCATAGCAGCTGAAATTTCCCATAATCTGACAAGCAGCACGCTTCAGAATTCGTTGGTCCGCGCTGTGGATTTAGGTTATTCTGCACCCAGCAGGCATTGCTTTTACTTGCAGCCAAAGAGTTTTTCCAGGTCTATTTTAATATATCGCTATCTGTATTATTTTTCCTTTGAATATCGTGCTAATTTGTCCATCTGTAAAACATACAGCGACGTGTATGTGCATGTTACATTTTATATTATATATTTGATTGACAAAGAGCCTGGAGTTTAATATAAGTGATGTTTTATAGTACATGTCCGCATGTTTTTATGGCCAAGGTGTTATATTTGTAGCCAGTGTGCTATTCAAACTTATGTCACGTACACAGAGTGCCGTTGCTGGCTGTGTTACTCATCAGTCTTGTGTTTAGTAGATTTAACAGACTGTTAACTGGCAGTTTTGATAAACAGCTGGTAATAAGCTCTACACCGGTGCTGGCTGGTCTGTGTGAGACAAGCATTTATATTACACAGCTCACATTACATTTGCCTGAAGGGTGGTGTTATCCATGAAAATCAAGCCTGTAATTTACAGTCTCATCTGTTTGTGTGGCCTGATACTTGAAGCTGTAGAATTTAATAAGCAGGCAGTAATTCAGAGTAGCCAGAGATAGGATGCTGTATGAATTTTGGTATCTTTGGATGGAATCAGTTCCCAAATGGACATTGTGTGCTGGAAGTAGGCAGCCGCCTTACTAGGCTGATTCCAGAGGTTATTCTGCTCATTTCCTCCTTTACTCTGCATATTAAGTGTTATTTTAGGCGTGCTCCTCTTCCTTTTTTTAAAGTTGGATTTCTTTTTCAGTCTCAGGGAATGAGAGGCTGACAAGCACATAGTGACCCGTTTAAGTTTCCAAAACATTTACAGGACAGGGATGCGTCTGGTTTTCAGTAGCTCTCTTATGCCGAGGAAGTGCGCACTCTTAAATGTGACGGCCGTTTCCTGTAGCCACTCTCTCATGCATTTTCTTTGTCTGCTGCTGAAAGCCGGGGACTTTAATGACTGCAGAGAACTGGTTGTTACTTTTTAAGAAGCTAAAGAATGGAGTGATTCAGATGAATCGCTGCTTCATCAGCATAGTGGGTTGCCTTAACTCGCAGGAAGGTCAGGTTATACCCTCTAATATCGAGCTTAAATCTGTCCAAGTTGTTGTGGAAAAAAACCCAAGACATCTTCCGGTATAATGACTGCTCCCATTAATGTTTTTATCTCAACAATAGGGTGCCTTGGGTCTGCACTTATAATGAGCCTCAAGGCCTGGTTTTGGTCAGTGCCGCACCAGCTTTCTGGGAGGTCCTGTTCCACAGGATTCCTGCGGCTTACACTCCTCCTTCCAGCCGTCTTTACAGGATAGCAGAACGTGGCCTTTTTCACAGTCTTTCTCTTTTTCCTCCTTAGCAAGGCCCGGAAATGTGTCCTGTTTGTTAAAGTGTGCTCTCTTAAGCCACGTTCAGCCGCAACACGCCGCTCACTTGCTTGATCGATTGGTTTTCTCTGTCCTCTTAAGTACATCGACCCTCTCCAGATATGTTTTCTTTCTCAGCTGAAAGAGGTTTAGTGGTGCTTTTGACCCTTCTTAAAATGAGCTGACCCACGGGACAGATTATTGGCACTTAACAACTATCCTTTGAGAATTGCGGTGCTAACTGTGCCTACCTGTTATGAATGTGAAATGGAGATGTGCAGTGAGCTTTCTGTTTATTCCTCCTCCAGGCTGGAAACAAGCCTGTCACCAAAGACCACCAGCAAATGGCAATCCACAAAGGGCAGGTAAAGGTAAAGTACTTGTATGAAGACTCCTACAACCGGAAGGTCAACGGTAGCAGCCATGGCTCTGGGTCCTCTAAGCCACCGGCCACCCTGTCGAAGGAGAGGGGTATGGAGAGCAGTAGCTCCACCAAGTCTGCTGACAGCACCTCCAAGCCCTGCAAGCCTGGTCCAATCACCCCCGAGCAGGCCCTGAAGATCCACCAGCAGCATCTGACTCCCCTAGAGCAGCAGGAGATCTATAACTACCCTGAAATCTATTTTGTGGGACCAAATGCCAAGAAACGGCAGGCGGTAGCTGGTGGGTCCAACAATGGGGGCTTCGATGACGACCAGGGTAGCTACATCCACGTGCCACACGACCACTTGGCCTACCGCTATGAGTTCCTCAAGGTCATCGGGAAGGGCAGTTTTGGGCAGGTGGCCAAGGTGTATGATCACAAACTCCACCAGCACTTGGCGCTCAAGATGGTGCGCAACGAGAAGCGCTTCCACCGACAGGCTGCCGAGGAGATCCGCATCCTAGAGCACCTTAAGAAGCATGATAAGACAGGCAGCATGAACGTTGTGCACATGCTGGAGAACTTCACCTTCCGCAATCACATATGCATGACCTTTGAACTGCTGAGCATGAACCTCTATGAGCTCATCAAGAGGAACAAGTTCCAAGGCTTCAGTCTGCCGTTGGTCCGCAAGTTCGCTCACTCCATCCTGCAGTGCCTGGAGGCCTTGCACCGGCACAAGATCATCCACTGTGACCTGAAGCCCGAGAACATCCTTCTTAAGCAGCAGGGCCGGAGTGGCATTAAAGTCATTGATTTTGGCTCCAGCTGTTTCGACCACCAGCGCGTCTACACGTACATCCAGTCCCGCTTCTACAGGGCACCTGAGGTCATCCTGGGGTCACACTACGGTATGCCCATTGACATGTGGAGCTTTGGCTGTATCCTGGCCGAGCTGCTCACGGGGTACCCGCTCTTTCCCGGCGAGGACGAGGGAGACCAGCTGGCCTGCATGATGGAGATCCTGGGTGTACCGCCTCAGAAGATCTTGGATCAGGCCAAGCGGGCCAAGAACTTCATCAACTCCAAAGGTCACCCGCGTTACTGCACTGTGACCACGCTTAGCAACGGCTCGTCGGTGCTCAATGGCGGCCGCTCCCGTCGGGGCAAAATGCGGGGCCCACCAGGGAGCAAGGAATGGTCCACAGCCCTCAAGGGTTGTGATGATCCCACCTTCATCGACTTCTTGAAGAAGTGCTTGGACTGGGATCCGGCCACCCGCATGACCCCCAGCCAGGCGCTTCGGCACCCCTGGCTTTACAAGCGCTTGCCCAAACCAGTGTCCGGGGACAAGACCCAGGCTCCCAAGCGGAATACAGAACACGTCACCTCCTTTCCCAGCATTGTGTCGAAACTTCCCTCTACTGTGGGGCCCGCCAACAACAAACTGAGGACGAGCATGATGGGGGACCCTGCTGGGAGTATACCTTTGCGCACAGTGCTACCAAAACTGGTCTCTTAGGGTGTTGACATCAGGGCGATGGACATATTGGTTGTGTGATACTCATCTAATTCTATTTTTATTTTACAGAATGTTAATACTTCAGGTTTAGCTAGGCAATTAAAAAAAAAAAAGTTAAAATAATCTGACAGATTTTTTATATCAAGCAATTTTCAGATCAGCTGGTTTTTCTGAGATCCTTTGAGAAAATACTGTTAATTTTTGTTTTTAATGTGTCAGATATTAGACGTGTGGGTTCGATAGTGTCATTTTAATGAAAACTCATACCCTGGTGTTTAAGGGCTGAATTTTAGAATTTCAAGGGCTAAAAAAAGGATTGTAAATAAGAAACTGCCTGAATAATGAAATTTATTTCTAATTTTACATTATTCATTAGACAAGTGGTGATTTAAAGAAATGCTTGTAATTGGCATTCGATTGGTTTTTAAATTTTCATCATGTGCACAGCAAAGATTCAAACTTTTAAAAAATTCGTTACATGAAGGAAAGAAAAGCAAACAAACATTTGAGGTGGCGTCGTTTAGCAATAAATCCACCCCGCGAGTCATTAGCATTTGTTTGGTTTTCTGAAATTGAATGACGGCCTTGTACCTTGAAAGCGAGCCTGATGGAAGCTGTTTCTGGCCGAGCGAGCGGTGAGAAGGGCCGTTAGGTGTCTGTCTGTTAGGTGAGTGACAGGCAGGATGCAGAATGGGGTTTGGGGAAATTGGTATCGGAACGCTCAGCACAACCGGGTCACTACCAAGTAGTCTCGTGCTTTGGTCCAGAAAGACATGATCCGGTCTCATTTTTGGGCTGACTGCCGCTAGAGGAGAACAGAATCACAGCTTTACTTTTGTGCTTTTTTTTGCCACCTGGGGCAGTTTTCACCGCTGTCTGTGTTCCTGCCGTGTTCTGACACGACCCAGGTGATTAAGCGGGGTGTTGACTTGGAGCCTCAGAGCAGAAATGGCTGATTGGAACCACACCCATGGGTGCGGCTTTGCTGCCCCAGAGGCGACCTTTAGTTGCAGACTTTGTCCTGGCTGTGCTAGTTTACTGCCCCCTGCAGGGCAGTTTATTTGTGCCTGTCCCGTAGAGTGATTAGGGCCATGGTTGGAGCACCGCTAAACTGTGAACTGCAGCAAGTAACGTCCCACGGGCTTAGCAAGTGGTCAGGGGTTCCCCCCCCCCAAAAATGGCACCGTCGCAGTTTCTGCTGGCTGCCAAACACAGTTGTCAGCTTGGGGGTGGGCGGCTGTTAACTGGTGTAATATGACGGACAGCACGTTCCATCAGCCGTGTGTCACAGAGCCTTTTTAATTTTAATGGGATACTGTCCACCCCCCATGGCTAAATGGCAGAGTGAATCCCGTGAGATGGGTTTGGGGGGGGCTGATTTTGCTCATTTTACCCCTCTGCCCTGTCCCCAGGCTGAAGCAGTGCGATCCTGGCTGGGGATGGTGACTGGTGGCTGGGGCTCGATGGCCTGGTGCCCTCTAGCTTCTGGGCAAGACACTCAAACCCCTAAGGATCAGAACAGCTCTGCCAACAAAAGGTTGATGGCCTCGATTTTAGGGGCAGAATAATTTTTTTAAAGACCCAACCACTGAGAATGTAGCATGTTTTTGGGGCTGTTTATTTATTATGATGGTAATTTATTGTAGTGGTAGTAACAGTAGTAGCATAAGTACTAGTATGTTGTTGTTGTTGATGATAATGTTGTTAAACTGACCATTGCTAGACTCCAAAAAATGAGTGAATGACTGGGTGGGGCACGGTGCACTGTGACGTGTTTGGCTTGGATTGCCTGCCGCACCCCCTCTGGGGGCCGCGGGTCAGCAGATGGTGTGCAGGGAGCGTCCCGAAACATCACCCTTTCCCAGGTATTTGTCTCCACCCCCTCCGAAGGGAATGGTGCTGTCCTGCAAGTAAAGCGGAACCCCTCACTCTCTACTCAGGTGTGAAACTCACTCCTCTTGAGGATTAATTATCCCAGGTAAGGGTCAGCATCTCGGTTTTGGTGCAGTTAAGACAAACCCTAATGCTCCCAGATGGCTTTTTTTGTAAACTGTTTCATTTGAGCATATAACTGGGAGCTATCTTCCTTTGCCGTAACCTGGTGGGCCTGTGGGATGCAGTCACCCAGAAGTCTCCGCGTAGACACTGGTGTTACTCTGCGTAAAAGGACGTGTTCCATGACATACTGACTGCAGCCAAGCCAACGTTGGCCCCAGACATGCTCAGACCGCATCGGGGCCAGACCACATAACTGAACACACGTCCCCAGAGAGAAGTGGCGCCCCCTTGTGCCGAAACCTCCTTGGGGCTCCTGCTCTCTTTCACCCCCGCCCCAACGTGTAAGGTCCCTGTGCCTTCAGTCTTACACCCTTGACAATGTCCAGGCACAGCGACTGCCAATCTCCTTTTAATGTCAAGTCAGACTTTTGTACCCGTTCTTTTGTAAGTTTTTATTGCCACAGATTGACGGGCAATTTTTAACATATGAGTAAAGATGAGTGTACCTCGCTAAGATGTTACGGTGTTTCTATGATTATTTGCCCTAGTGTGTGGAGTGAAGATTGAATATTTCATGGCATGTCAATCATGTTTAAATTAGGACTGGTGAGACTTGCATAATGACAATTGTGTGAAGTAACCAATGAGCTTGTATTTAGTTTCTTTTTTAAGAAATAAAATAATTATTAACATGCCTTGTTGTTTTTGCACTCAATACTTGCATGTTTTGCAAGTCAGAAGTCAGGGCCAAATTCTGTTGAAAACACAGTCAGATAAGCCCTTTGACATATCTGTATCAGCTATTCTATCAGAAATTGAAGACCTAAGCAAAAAGACAACTGCATGAACAGTGCCGAACCAGTGTGAGAAAAGGGGAAACATTTAAACGTTCTGAAAAGGAAGCGGTTCCGGGCCCTCGGAAGAGGGGCAGATTGTGCGGGCCTCACAGTGAGATTTCTGTCCAAATTTGTCCAGATCAGCCTCTTTCTTGACAGTACTGTGAGATCTCCCCAAGGCTCCGAAATGCATACTCCCCTCAGTAATGTTGACCATTCCTTTGATGTCAAATAATTGTTTAAAATGTGAACCTCAAAATTCTGATTTTGTGTTATGGGGGCTCCTGTTTTCCGGACCATTTTGGGTTGTAGGTGCCATGAAAGTGGCATATTTTGTGCCTGATTTGTTTGTAACACCAAAGGTGTCAGAACTGAAATGAACAGAGATGTTATCTGTACACATCATTTATACAATCAGCCAGCAGCATGGGTGTAGCCATGTAGACGTTTGTTTACCGTAAACGTTCTATCCATTATTCTTTTAATCCCTCTTTTTCTTGCACAGCAGAATTGCTGATCTTGGCATGACTGTGACGAGCGACTGCCCTAATCATTTTCACGTGGATGGAGTTGCTCCATTTTTAACAGCTCTATTCTGAGGCCCAGTTTCCTCTGTAGGCCTGCCTGTGATCTCATCAGCCTGCAGAAGAATAGAACAGCTTCCTAACCCATGTATGTATGGTTTTGTGTTATACTGAACTGAGATGGTCCTTCATATGAGGGCCAAGTCTGTCACTCCGTGTTCATCGGCACGTCACCTGATCTGCTGGCTCGGGCTCCAGGTTGACGGATAGTTTTAACTGTGAGCTTGGACACCTTTGATCAGCCACGGTGGCCAAAAGTGGCCCTTTTGTCCGGGACCCCTCCTGTCTTCCTGTGCTGCTGCTGACACGTTAAGGAGTAGTGGGCTCAATCCTAAAGTGGTGCTCTGGGGCTGGGAAAGAGCTGATTTGCATTTCAAATGTATCATTTCGCTGCTGCTTTCCACGTGTGACCTCACTGAATCACGTGTGACCTCACTGAATCACCTCACACTCCCGGAGTGTAACCTCACGATCGGCAGCTGTGCAAAAGCAAAGCAGGGGGGTGCCTAGCCATGAGAAGTGGAGCTTAGGGGTGCTTGGTCGCCCCCCCCGGTCACAGCCGGCCCCCTCACCCTCACAGATGCTTCCTGTCTCTTCAGCCCTGTCGAGGTACCTGTCACTGACACAAACAGAGGCAGATATTGCTGGCCTGAAGATGATGTTGGGAAGAGAGAAGAAGCGTTGTGGCAGAAAATCATCATCCCTGGGATGATATATGGCCGACTCATGCGGCCTTTTGTGGGCGGGGATAATTCTTGGATTTTTTTAAGGTTGGGGGGGGGGCATAAGAGAGGTCATAATTCATACAGAGACCAATGATGTGTTTTGAATTGGTGAGTGACGGGAGGGGGGCACTCCAGGGGTCAATCTGCTTTCAGCTGGAGCCGGTACCCCTGTGTACGACTATAGCTACAGGGAAACCTGACTGGATCTTGCAGAACTTGTCAGTGTAAAATATTCTCCTGTAGTGACACGCCTCACTGCATGTTCCAAGGAGGAGCCTTTCTGTTTGGCCTCCTCACCACGGGGCCCTATCTGCCCTCAGCACAGCCTGGGACTCCGGGGACATTGACAGCTTGCCCGTGGAGGAGCCTGGGCACCGGCGGTCCTCTGTCCTTCCCCAGCAGCCAAGCCGGGGGGAAGCAGGTGTTCGGCTGCCGAAGCTCGATGTGGCGTGGTGCCTCCGTCTGCTGGTCACGTGACCCGGTTCTCGCGGGATCCTCCAGACCACTGGTCTTCCACAGATTGACGCGAGTCGGGTTTTTTATCAAGAATCTGACCTGGAGAGCCGCTGAGTGATGTCGGCAGGGGCAGGTCCCCCTCCGGCCGCCTCCACCCCCCCGGTAACACGAAGCCCCACTCAAGCTGCCAGCCACCTGATATGGTTACGGAGACTCAGGCCCAGTGACATATGGTGCGATCAGAGGGATCGCAGGTGGCCTGTCAGACTGTGTATGACTGACAACAGGAGGTAGTCCTTCCACAGCCAGAGATAAAAGTCTCAGCTCTTTGAGAGAGCACTTCAGTGTCTTTGAGGGCCACTACATCTGCCCGTGTGTTCAGCACGTCACTGTTAGATGGCCAATCAAATTACGAAAGGAGGCGAAGAGCCCGTGAACTGGATTTGAAGAGTGGAGTTCCGCTATTGTTATTATTCTATCACTGAGCTAAGAGCGTTATCTGGCTGACCAAAAGTCTCCCTTCCTCAAGGGTATAACCCTCCCTTCTGCTACTTCACTGAACGACATCAGTCTTTATTTTTCTAAAGCGGGGTGGTAGCTCCATCCTTCATGAGCATCCCAGGCCACAGGACCATCAGGTGTGGGTGATCTCAGCAGGGTCTAGCAGATGTCACCCTTCCTGCTAACTTGATCTCCTTCAGGAAATATGGCATGGTGCTGGCACTGTCTGTCCTTTGCCAAACGGGAATCTGAGTGCTGTCTACAAATCCTGTCTGCAAATTTTTTATTAGTTATTGGTATAAATGCAGCCATCGTGAATGAGACCAGGTAGTCTGCAGAATGCCAAACATCATGTACCAAGGTCAGTTCTGCTGCTGGTCAAGTAGTGTGTTTACAGAGATGATTCCGCTTTTAAATTGTCACTAAGGATGTTTTTGTGTGGCGTTTGAGACCTGCTTTGGTCCAAGGAAGCACTTACTTCAGCTTGCGATGTTAAGGAGCAGCAATCAAGGCCCCAGGTGATACCAGAATTAAATCGCTAAACAACATCTCCATATGTTGAGTCATCACGGTAGACTGCTGCATCTGTTCTGGCTCCTTATCACCCAATTTAAGAACATCTGAACCTCCTATGAGCTTAGAAATACGCATTAAGAGCTAAATGACCAAGCATATCCGGATATGGGTGAAGGTGTGCTGGGAGAACAGGATGTACTGAAGGTCGATCGTCCTCGATGAGCTTTTTCCCCATTAAACCACTGGGCTTCTCGGTGTCTGACAGCCAAATGGAGGATGGGGCTGAGATATTTCTGGGCATTTTTAAGGTGCAGCCCCAAGTGGCACCCCAGGAAGGAGCCTGGCCCAGAGGGGGGTCCCTGTGACAGCAAAAGACATGCAGCCAGGGGCTCTCAGCCTGCAGAATGGGATCTGGTGTGTGGGGCAGCTGTGCAGAAAACTGGTGAAGAGAGACACAAAAATATCAGGAAGGATATCAGGGGAAGGATGTCAGGAGCTGATCTGAATCATTAGCCTCCCCTAGGGCAACATGTAGTACAGCGGCTAAATATACAATAGCAGGCATTGCTGCTGCAATCCTTCTGCTTTCATTGGGAATTTCTGTCTGTCATTTCGGATGAGGGTGTCAGCTCGACAAAAGAGTATGTGTATTAATAACAACATACTGTCAAGTTGGCTTCAGGTAAAAGAGACTGTTTGCAGGTCCCATTCCTCGAGCTTCTGAGCACTAGGACAATTGGAGACGTTTCCTACATGCCCTGTACTCAAGGCGTCTTGGGGAGAAGGTTCCACTGCATCTCAGAACATGGGCCTTCACATGTCCGGGCAGGCACGGAGAACGCTGGTAGTACATTTTTGGTTGGCACCGTCATGGGCTCGATACATTTGTCCCAGCATTCCACATTCCAGGACAACACCCTGGATGTTTGGGGTGAGGGTTTGTGCAGCCAGATGGAGGGAGGAAGCTCTCCATGACCGCTGAACACTGACAGCAGGGCCAGGACAACCGCTGGCTGCTGACTGATCCTCGTGTGTTATTTAGAAACCAGGCATCTGTATATGTAGGAATTTTGGTTAATAAATAAGCTGAACATGAAATGGTATCGGTATGGCCAGTACAGTGTTAGCTGTGGTCCGGTAAATGCGCTTTTTCCTTCCAGCTTCTCTTTTCTGAGCACATGACTGTCGACGATGATTCTGCTTTGATGATTCTCCCGTTGCTGAGGCAGGGGGCTGCGTGACACGTGCTGTCTCTGGGCAGGCAGGAGGCCGGCCCCCAAGCGTGCCTCGGACCGTGTGTTTTCTTGCTGTTGCTTGGTAGCGTGCTCTGGCTTCCTTTCTGTTTCTAAAAAAAAAAAAAAGTGATCAGAAACACTTCATTGCATGACTCTTCATAAATAAACCGGCTTCTGCTGCCTTTTTGCCTCTCTGGGGCACTTGTGGGGCCTTTTCCCTGCTGTGGAAGCTCCTGAAAAGCTGGGAGATCTGGCTAAAATCGTAAGCAAGCAGTTAGCATAACTGCTTGACGCTAACGTGGCCCTCCTCCGAGGCGTCCGACCCAGGTGCATGCCTGACAGGGAATGACCCTCGTTTTTATTTGCGTGTGGGTGTTAACCTGGCATAGCATCCAGGCCATGCCTGTCCCAGTAGGCAATCCTTCTCGGAATAATCAAGCAGTTACTTATGGATAGATTAACTATAACAGTTACAGGAACCCTGGTGATAACACTGAATCGGCTGTTGTACCTTTAAGAGAGATGCATAAATAAAGGAAAAGTAGTCGTGCAACAGTAATGGGGAATAAGTCAGCTTGAGACTTATTGAATAATCATTTCAGCATTGTTTTGGAAGTGAACAACATATATGTAAGAGTTTAGGAGCACAAACGTGGTGAATTTTGCCGACTGTAGGGTATTGCTAATCTTATTGCCATGGAAACTGCCATGATTTACGAGGAAGCACGCCATCATGTCAGCAGCGTTGTGACCAGTGCCAGATTCACCAAAGTGCTAAGGCTGTCTCACCATATTGCTTCAGTGATGTAAAATGTTGACGTGAATGAAATCGTTAAGGGACA